ATAAAGAAAAAAGGTTTATATAGTTCACAGATCCAAGAGCAAACAGCCCATTGATTTGATTTTCTGATGAGGGTAGCAGATGGTGCTGGAGAACATGTCAGGGTAAACCACTTACAACATGAGCCAGGACGCTTACAGAGACAGAGAGACCCGAGTCCCACAGTCTCTTGAGGTTATGTTCCCAGTGTCTTAAGGCTCTCTGGTTAGATGAGTTCCACCTCCTAAAAGTGCATCACCCAGTATCACCACCCTGAGGATGAAGTTTTGTATGGACCTTTGGGTGACATTCATCCAAACCATAGCAATGACTACAACTTCAGGAGAAAGATGAGTGATCAGCAAATAAGAAAGGAAGAAGGAGAGATCATTTCTTAAAGATGATACAGCCCAGGCTTAATGACTACAAAAGTGCCGGGTTTCTGTTCTTGCGATTAAAAGGCTCAGGGGTCACTCCAGGTAAACTGGGCTGACTGGGCTGCACAAAATAACCACACAAGAGACACAAATACCTTTTTCTTTGGGGTCGCTGTGACAGCTTCTCTGACCTAAAGGGTCCACAGAAAGAGAGCACGAGAGCACACGCTGACCCCTTTTATTGAGGAGAAGCCATTCAAATGAGGCAAGGGGTCAGGTTTCAGGGGGCTGAGTCTATCTTCATGATGTCCACTGTCAGCAGGTTGACTGACACCTGGGTAGGCCACACCCAAGGGCACAGTAAGAGAAGGGGACACACACAAGGAACTTCCATGGAAGATTCTATAATAAATAGGGCAAGGGGTTATATTACAAAGGAACAGGTGAGCATAGCTTCACCCATGGGGCTGTAGCAAGACACACCCATGCAGGAGACACTGACCCTCAAACCCAAGAAGGATGGGGAAGGCTCTGCCACATTTCTGTGACTGAGCGCCTCAGCACCCAGCTGGGGAATGTGACTCAGTCATGTGTAAGGCAGGAGTCATTTAAAAAGCATTTTGGAGATAAGCATGGCAAGAAGAGAGAAAAAAATTAGCAGAGAGGGGAAATTACATGAAGGCTGTGAGGAAAGATTATTTAAAATGCCAAAAAGATAGCATCTAAATATTCTCATATTCGGTCATGTTCACAGATCAAAAGAACTTAGCTGGAGCAGAAAGAAGAAATGGGCTATGGACATGTATGGGAAAAGACCACTAGTACCTGCATAAAGTGAAAAACAGGTTGAGTACATACCAAATCGGAATCTGAAATTAATAGTCTGAAAACTAGCTCAAGTTCCACAGGTACATTGTGGAATCTGAGTGAATATAAAGAGGTGTCGAAGAGGAGCATCATTCTAAGGTCCTAGCAGAACCACACAGTGAAAATACATGCTTCTGCACACTTGCTCAGAGTTTTATCTGGCTTTTCCTGTTTATAATCAATTAAATTCCAGGCATCTGCATGGTTCACAAGATAGCCACCCTCAGTTCCCTTTTAGAGTCCCCAGGGGGGAAGTGGTTGAGCCTGACACCCATTGATATCAACCTCCCACAGAGAACTTCCACAAACTCATGCTGCTGTGGCTTTCTGATCCATCTAGATCTGCCTTACACCACGCATCATCTCTAAAGAAAAGCGTGACAGTAGAAATCCATGTTCCTGAATGCACTATGTCTTTATATCTGGGACACTATATCTCTGTCCCAAAAAATCTAGCTAAGTTGAGGGAACAATGAGAGAAAGCCTGGGCCTCAAAGTCCAGATACATATTATCTTGAAGGACACTGGCTTTCTCTTATGCACATTGGGAACTAGGGCACATTAGTGTTGTCTGTAGAAATCTACTTTACGAACATACTCCATGACAGTTGCTCCTTGGGATGCTGGTCAGACAAGCAAACTGCGCAAGCTAATTTTGATGATATCCCTGCTTTTGCAGCCTAAACAAACAAACAAAACCCCCTTTGAATGGGCACAAAACAGGGTAACTGTAGAAAGCTTACGTGTCACTCATTCGACCAGTGACCACAGACAAAATGCAATGGGAGAGAAGAGCCTGCTTGGAGAAGCACCTTGAGGGACAGAGGTGCTGTGTGTTCAGCCCATTGCACTGAACTCTTCTTGGAGCAGTCACTGATCTCCTGTAAACCTTTCCCAGGACATCATGTCTCCCATGCTGTCTCCGGGCATTTTCTTTGGCCCTCTCCGAAACCTACCCATCTGCCCTGGTACAACTGGGCTGTGGACATGAAGCATCAGTTGGGGATGTTTAATAGTTACTCAGATGTATTACTACCAATGAATCATTTGGGGCAGGGGTTATGGTAGTCAGAATCAGTTTCTCTTGCTTGAAAACAAAGGATTTCATTGTTTAGTGAGGGTCTGAATTTCGTTTCATAAATGGTGCCCTCTTGCTGTGTCTTCCCATGATAGAAGGACCAAGTTATCTCCCCAGGGTCTCTCTTATAAGGGTACCAACCCCATTCCAAATCATCTAATCACCTCCCACAGACTCTCTCTCCAAATACAATCACCTTGAGGGTGAGGTGTTCAACATATGAATTTGGGAGATACAAACACTCAGACTGAGCAATGAAGATTTTATTGAGGAGAACATAGACCAAAAAGAGAGAGAGGGAGGGAGGGAGGGAGGGAGAGAGAGAGAGAGAGAGAGAGAGAGAGAGAGTTTATGTCATAAGTCTAATTAAAATTCCTGTTAAGCATTTCTATCCTCCTCAAGGTCAACCTCCAACAGCATGCCAGCCATGGGATCTTCACATCTTTCTTATGCAGAACATTTTAGCTCTATCTCAGCTTTCTAATCCTAGGAACTACATCCCCAAAGGGGTTGACACCCTGACTCTAAAGCTGAATTCACTGGGAGGAAGGAATGGGGAGAAGGAAGGGGTGGGACTCAGCTATATATTTTCAACATAGCTTCATTGGAAATTACCTTGGGGCTCAGGAAACAGTCACAATATTCTTTCTTTATAAATGTTTGTGAATAAAAGTTACCATAAATAAAGTTTAAACCTTCACATTAGAAGTAGCTAGAGCCAAGAAAGAGTTAGCAACTTCTCTGAGGAATTTGGGAATGAGGAAAGAAGACATGAAGAAGATTTCCAAAGCAAAGAACAGGAGAAGAGAATTCATCCTGTCTTCAGAATATGGAATAATTGTCCATACATAACACCTCCAGTGGAAGATGTTACAGAGTTTCCTATTGCTACTTAGTGTCTTATATAATAATAACTATGTATTCTGCTCAAGCATGTAGAGTTTGAGTAGGACCAAACTTGTTTCAGCATATGCAGTGTGAACTGGAAGACTCGCATGTGGCAGGAGGACATCATTTTGACATGACTCACTCACTAACACAGCTAGTTGATCCTGGCTATTGGCTGGGCACTCAGCCAGGGATTGTGTTCAGGGACCTCGGGTCCTCTCCAAATGAGCCTCTCCTCAGGCTGCTTGAACTTCTTCACAGTATGATCACTGGGTTTCCAGAGCAAGCATCTCAAGAAGACAACATGGACGTCTATGACATTTTCATGATCTAGCCTCATCTCTATCTTCTCTTCTGAACTTCGTTGGTTGAAGCAATTGCAAAAATCCACCCAGGTTGGGGGCTCAGGGACTTCCCCAGAGAAGACCTAAAAATTCAGAGCAAAAAGCAGCTAACTCTAACTCTTGATTGGGTATGGCAAGGTTCTACAAGTGTGCACAAGGACAGGGGATATTGTTGCAACCATCTTTGAAAAGGATAACCTGCCACAGATGCCATGAGGCTCCTGGTGTCTCGTAGGATCACAACTATACCCGTCTGTTCCCAGTGAAATATCTTGGCGGGTTGTAGTAGTGGTCACCAGCTCTTCAACTTGGGCTATCAGATATGGTGGCATCAGTTCCATCATATCGGCCAAAATCTTTTCAAAAAGGTTTTCAGAGCATTAAGTATGGTTGGAGCTTACAGCAGAAGTTGATTTCTCCAGAGATTCTGATTCAGGTGTGTGGTGAGATCCGAGAAGTCTGAATTTTAACAATAGCCACAATTATTCCTAAAGCAGGTGGTCCTCCATTCTAAACTGTACTTTTTTTGTACGTGGTCATTGAGAGAGCTCTAGTTCAATAACTCATATATGGATTGTGCTTACAATGTTGGGGTAAGCTTCTGAACTAATGGGAAAAGTTCTGAAATTCTGAACTAAAGTACCTTGTTTTTCCTTTCCTCCCCTTTCTCCTTCCTTTCTACTTTATTTTTTTACTTTTCCTCTTGCCTTTCTGCTCTCATTCCCACATACTGGTGCTGTTTATAGTCTCTGCTGTACCTTGGGTACAGAGCATGTCACATCATAACAACCCTTGGCATCTCCTGCAATCCCAATCTGCTCCATCCCCTGCAGAATGTTCTGTAGGTCATTTCTATTACAGTCGCTGCTTTTTGCTCTGAATTTTTAGGTCTTCTCTGGGGAAGATGTTCATGCCCATCTTCCAGGTGAAGAACACCCTTCCAGGGACTTCTGAACCTGAATAACAGTCATAGTACTCTTAAAGCCTGGTGCAAATCTCCCCCAAATCTTTTATTGCCTCCATTTCTTGTCTGGTTCTTATGTAATGTCTACTCCAGTGGTGGCAGAAAAGTTCCATTCTTCTACAAGTGTTCACAAGCAGCAAGTCCTGACAGCATGCCTATGATTTAATATTTGTTTTCATTATTGTTGTTTTTCTAATCCAACCTGCTTCTTAAACTAGTTCAGTTCCTCCTTTGTTGTGTGCAAAGCTAAACCACTGGCTGAATCACAACATTTCTCAGTAGTTTCTTATTTTCTACAGTTTTTGCATTGAGGAAAAGCAAGATGGCAACTAAAATCCTCTGGTAATCACTCCCCACAGATACACCAAGCTTAACAGCCATTCATGATCTGAATTACCTTCATAAGAGCTAAGAAAATCAAGAGCAACACTATAAACTCATGCATTGATTACAAGAACAAAATATATTATAAAGCTGAAAATGAGCCAGGCAGGGTGGTACATACCTGTAATCCTAGCAGCTTGGGAGGCTGAGGCAGGAGGATCATAAATTCAAGGATAGACTCTGGAACTTAGAGAGAACCTTAGCAACTTAGCAAGACCCTGTCTCAAAAACCAAAAGAGCTGGGAAAGTAGCTCAGTGGTTAAAAGTATTCCTGAATTCAATCCCCAGTACCAAAAAAAAAAAAAAAGCTGAAAAAGAAACCAGTTTCTCCATTATTTTCTGTTATTTTTCTTATTCAAGTCTAAGTAATAACTTGGAAATTTTAAGAGATAAACAGCATTTGAATTAGGTAATACATAACTGTAGTTCATTTACAATGCCTAATGAGGCCAGAATGAATAAAGGAAAGATAAAAATTTTCCACAGAACTTCAGGGAAAATATCTAACAAGAAACATAAAAGTTCATTGTATTTTGTTCCCTTGAATATTTTTTTAAATTGAAGAAATTCTTGATATAATATGCAAGTGCTTTTTTTCCCTTTGGTTGGTTATCTTAACTCCTAGAAAACAGATTATTAATATTCTTGTATCCACTACCTTACCCCTGAATCTTTGATTGGACTTAGTTTTGAAAGTGTTTTTTTACCTTTTTACTTGCATTTTCTAACAGCAAAAATTCCTGGTACATTGAGCTATAGGTTCTAAGGAGGACCTCTTTTATTTCCTTCTAGTCTGTGGGTCTAAGGACTGTGACTGATTGCATTTCACCCCTACTCTAACTCAGAATATAATAAAGTTGCTGTACAGTGGAGAGCCCCTGCTCCTCTTTCCCTTTTAATTATTAGCTTTTACCCACCCCTATGGGTCCCCATAGGGGGCCAATTATGGTTTAGATCTGAAATATCCCCCAAAGACTCATGTGTTGAAGGCTTGGTCCCCAGTGCAGCAGTGTCCAGAGGTGGGACCTTGTGGTCAGTGATGGATCATGATGGATCATGATGGATCATGAGGGCTCTGATCTCATCAGTGGATTAATCCATTAATGGGTTCATAATTGAAGGTCAACTGGGAGATAAGGTGGAATCTTCAGGAGGTGGGGCTGAGTTGGAGGAAGGAGGGCACTTGGGGACTGCCTGGAATTTCTCTCTCTCCCTTCCTCCCTTCCTCTGATCCATGGCTTTGATGGCTGATGCTGCTTGGTCCCACTAATCTTCCCATGATTCTGAGTTCCAGACTGAGCTGCTTCCTGATGTTACTGCTGTTTACTGGTGACGAGTCCTTGCTTCCCCAATGCTGAAGTATAACACCAGAGAAGCACGCCCAGGCAAGTTTAGAGCGGAAAGTAGAAGCTTTATTAAAGGACAGCAGAAAAGACTTCTCCCGGAAGAAGAAGGGGACCCAAGAGGTGGAATCTGTGGAAGGGGGAGATAAAATAGCTAAGGCCTACTTTCAGCTTTCCCGAATTCCTGTCGCATTCCTGTCCTCTATTCTGTTATCTTGCAATGATGGAATGTAGGTGGGAAAGCCCAAAAGGTGGGGGACAGGTGGGCCTAAGGAGTAATCTGGGCAGGTAGGGCTTTTGGATTAGCATCTCCCGCGTTTGCTGGGAGCTGCTTCATTAACATGTCCTTGGGATAGGCTCCGAGCCTTGGGGACATTTTCAATTCCCCCAAGTGCTGCTCTGGTTTCCTGGACTCCATTCTCTATAATGGCCTCCATTTTATTTTATTCGATATTAGACCCAGATTTACCTAACTACACTAACTACCTATCTTTAAATCTGGCTTCACTGATACATGTAACACTTGTTGCTCTAAAGTTTATGCTGTGAAAGTTAAATGTCAGGAAAACAAAAACAAGAAAACAAAAAGAGATCTTTTTCAGAAGTAAAAAAAACCAGACCAACAAAATTCCTGGGAAACAGAGAACAGTGCCTTCCCACAGAATCCAGAGTGCAGAATGTGACAACGGAGGAGGACACAGAGACATAATAAAATACTGCATGTAAATTCAGCCACTTCCTCATAGTTTAGTCACTTCCATTTTGTGTTCAAATGCCAAACTAGTACTTTCATGGTCAATTTACCTTCCATTAAGTATTTCAGAGCTGATCTTTAAATATTAGATTGCTTTAGTTTTTCCTCAAACGGGTGTTTCTACTTCTATCATTCTTAAATGAAAATTCCATCTTGTGTATGAAAGTCCTGAAGTTGAAACTGAAGAGGAGCAATCAGGCAGGAAAAGTTGAACTCTCAGAAAGGAAGAGTCAACCTAAAATAATAGGAAGAGATTCTCCAGAGATAATGAATCTACCTGGAAATGAGCACTGCAATGAGGAAACTGTGCTATAGTAAATCATGTGCGTACCCAAGGAGGCCAGGTCAGATGAGGGTTCTTAAAGGTTAAGTGAGGACAGCTACAGACATTGTTCTCAGACAATGATCCTTAGCTATAAGGGTAGTGTAGTCCAAGCAGTGGTTGGGCAGATGTAAGGCTGTGATAGCCTTTGTACAAGGTTATGGTTCTGGCAGAGTCTTTTATGTCAGTTCTTGTTAAACAGACACTCACACAAACCCCTTCATCATCTCCTGACTTTATTTTCTTATTGTTAGGTTTCCACACAAGTGACTCCCTTTTGATTCTAACAAATGTCACAAAAGAGTGAGAGAACAATAGAACAGGAGGAAGGGAGAATGTAGGAAGAGAAGGCATGAAATTCAGGAGGAACAGTCTTAATACAGCCAGATGACAGAGGGGACCTAGTGCAGACCCTGGTAATGAACAGAAGAACAGCAAGGAAGCAATATACAGACTGAGAACTCACAGCACAGTGACACGGTCAAGGTTGGGGAAAGCTTCCTGGGGATACAGACAGCTGAACTGAGATCTGGAGAACTGGGATTAAAGAGCCAAGAGATACAGGAAGGGCATAACAGGCAGCAAATGGAAGAGTAAGTGCGTGCCAGGGCCCTGTGCAAGGAGAACATATACTCTGACATTGGCCTCCCTGGGAGCAACTGAAGTAAAAATCTACTGAGCATGCCCAGAGCACATTCCTTCAGTAAACAGGGTCTAGACTTGTAACACCTTAATGGTTCTGAGGTATTTTTATATGCATATCAGCCAAGGCACAAAAGAAAGGAAGTGGAGAAGTTTTATCCCACAGAAGGAATTTCCAAGGAGTCAGGCCTCACCCCAAGGAAATGCAGAAATCATGATCAGTCAGAAGTCCAGAGACACAGAATTGACTAAGAGTAGTTTTACTCCCTGATATGCTCCCAAATGACCTCAGTATCTTTTCAACTGAGATCAGAAGAAGCCCATCAGTAAAGATAATTGTTTGATTGAAATCTCCCAGTATTAATCCATGAAGCAGAACCCAAATGAAAGCTACCTTGGGTCAAGCAATCAGAAGCAACAGATGTGGGTTATGTAACCATATTATCTGTCCTCTCTCCCATCTACCCCAAGTGCACACAGACATGCCCACTCACTGCCACCAGTTTCTCTTAACATAATGATCAAAATAGTCTATTTTCCCTGTGTGCCAAATTAACTCCTTCATTGTATTAAACCATGAGGTGAGGGAACATCAATCTGTTTATCTGCGGTTAAGATATTTGATATAAATTGCATGAGGCCTAGGATTTTTTTTCTATCTTGCTCCCTGATATATCTAACATTATTACCTCCATTTTACAGGAATCTGAAACCCTGAGAAAGGAACCAAGCAATGGACTGACCAGTGTGTGGATTACCCAATTAGTGAGTAATGGGCTGCTTTAGTATTTAGTCGCTAGCAAATGGGACAGAGATGAATTAATTTCTGGAAGAGATAAAGTAGGTAGGGGAATAGCCGTTGAAAAAAAAAACAGAAGAAGCAATGTTCTACAGCATGCGTAGAAGAATTAAAAAGAAGTAGGAAATACTCTCCTTGTTAAAACACTGGAGATTCTTGTTTGAAACATTCAAGACAATGGAAGGGTTGGGGATAGATATTTACCTGGTGTTCACGAAGCCTTGGGTTCCATCCCCAGTACTGGAAAACATAAAAAACAACAACAACAAAAAAAAAAAAAAGAAAGAGAGAAAGAAAGAAAGAAAGAAAAAGAAAATAATGGGAGATGGAATTAAGATTTAACTGGAATGAATCTGACTTAACTTTTCTATGTACATATATGAAGACAACCGCAGTGAATCTCTACATCATGTACAACCACAAGACTGGGATCCTAATTAGAATAAGATGTGCTCCATGTTTGTATAACTAAGTCAAAGTATCCTCTACTGTCATGTATAAATAAAAGGAACAAAAAATTTTAAACTTTTAAAAAGAACCAGGAAGTAACACAGAAAGTTGAATGATTGTTATCAGGGTCTGAGGAGATACAAATGGAATGTTGTTGTTTAACGGGTGTAGAGTTTCAGCTTTATAAGATGATCTGTTGCACAACAATATGAATATACTTAACACTACTAAACTAATAAAAATTTTAAATTAAAAAAAATACTTGCACTAGAAATAGAAGCAGTAACTGAATATGAGTCTATAAAGCAAAAGTCTCCATGAGAGGCCCAGCAAAAGGAAAAGGGAAAAATCTGTAACTATACCCCTCCCCTCATTGTGAAATTTAAGGGGGGAAAAAAGGGCGGAAAACAGAAAATCCTAAAAGCTTCCAAAGGGCTGGGGATGTGGCTCAAGCGGTAGCGCGCTCGCCTGGCACTCGTGCAGCCCGGGTTCGATCCTCAGCACCACATACAAACAAAGATGTTGTGTCCGCCAAAAACTAATAAATAAATATTAAAAAATTCTCTCTCTCTCTCTCTCTCTCTCTCTCTCTCTCCCCCACTCTCTCTTTAAAAAAAAAAAAGCTTCCAAAAAGAAATGGCTTCCAAAGGAATAAGAATTCAATTGACTTCTCATCAGCTACATCAAATGGTAGACTAGAGCAATATCTTCCAAATTCTAAAGGAAATCTATAGTGCACATAACATACAAGCCAGCTTTAAAATAATAATTTAAAAATGAACACATATGAACTCACCACTCTGCTAAAGACTACCAGCACCTGTGACACACCTCAGGGCCCTGCCCTGAGCTCAGCCCCCTTTCCCAGGCAGTGGTGATCTGAATTTTGCACTAGTAGCTTCTTTGATTTTCTTTCAGTTCCACCACATAT